CGTCCCTGGCGCGCTCCGCGAGCCAGGGAGGGGGGTCCAGCGCCGATCCGAGAAATCCGCCCTGCCCTCAGAGTTTTTTATGTTTATGTCATTCTTCGTTCCCCTATTAGGGGTTCTCTCGGGGCTCTTGGGGTGTCTTCGGGGTCTCTTGGGTCGCTTTTTGTGTTCTCGAGGGCCTCTTCGGAGCCTCCTCGGGCCGTTTTTCGAGGCCTTTTGCTTTTGAGCCTCGCTGTCCGTGCGGTGACGCAGGGAATTTCGTGGGGCCTCTCCCCAAGGTTCGAGTCGGGCATGTCTCTGTACAGGAGGAGTATTCAAGGATAGCTCAAGACTGGTGACGATTTTCCGTGCTCTGTTTAGTATTCTTGATGTTTTGAATCTTGTTTTTTTAGATGTTCTTCCAAAATCCGCCTGTAGGAGGACACGCCCGACCCAATAGTAGACTGAGAGATGGTGACAGGACTGGACAGACAAGATCCGCAACATCAACGACAGCACCAAGAACGCCTGACAAGCAGTCCAACAAGAGACCTCACAGCCTGGCGCCCCCCAAGGGGGGCCGGCAGACATTGCAATTACGTGGCACCCCGCAATTGCGGACAAGACTGAGGGGGCGGGTCGCGGGTGGGCCGCGTGGTGGGTCGCGGGGTGGGCCGCGGGGTGCGTCGCGGGTTGCGGGTCTCGGGCGAGGACGACGACAACGCAACAAAAACAACAACAGCAACAGCAGCAGCAACAACAACATCAACAATAAAAACACCTTCACCACCACCACCAACAACGGTAACAGCAGCAGCAGCAATAATGACAACAAACACAACAACAATACTCATTGTAAGACTTTTCGCTTCTATCTGCTCGCGTGCCATCCAACACGTAAATCCCAAACCCTCGGTACCCGCCCTCTTCGTTTTCGATCGCACCCCCCTGGGGGTAGATCTTCCTTACCTGCCACGTGCATGTAGCGCAACCCCTTTAAAAAGGGGACGGATGGAAGGGAGAGCGAGAAGGACTGATCACGTGAGAAATTAGCAGGAGGGGGGCTAGGAGCAGAAACCACGTGGTAAAACCAGACGGGCAGATCGGGCCGACAGAACCTAGCGGGCGAGTCGGGACGGCGGGCCCAGCGGCCAGGTCGAGCAGGCGGGTTGCTGAAGCGTGATTCCTGCCTGATTCGCGAGGGTTTCTCGAGTGATAGATATCATTACACAACCAAAGCGACAGTGTGATTCCTGATTGTCGAGGGCGCCATGCTTCAACATGCGCCATGCGCCATGCTTCAACATGACACATGCGTCCATCACGATACAACCCGCCCTTGGGGAAACTAAATGGAAAAGGGGGCCGGTATTCCCACACTCAGATCTCCCGCGCAAGGATGTCGAGCGAATACCTCGTCGGAGGCACATTCACATTTTGAGCTCGCAAGAACATAACCAATCAGTGCGACTTGGGGGAGCGGTGAGGATTCGAAACATGAAGAAGTCGAGCCTCAGGAGAGGGGTAATCTGCAGGAGCGTGCGTAAAATGTCAGGTCTCGATTCCCAGTCGAAGGGGATTGACCAGAACATGCGTGAGACATAAACAGGATTCGAGCCCCAGTCGAGGGACACTCCTATAGGAAACGCAGGACATGCGTAAGACAGGATTCGAGCCCCAGTCGATGGGCAATCTCTGGGAGCACACGTAAACCACAAGAGGATTCGAGCCCCAGGAGAGGGGCGGCGAAGCATGCAGGGGCGACGCCTACGAGGTCGAAGCCCACGTGGGGCCGAGAAGCGCTCCCCGAAGACACCTCCGTAGCCATTTTGGCTCAAGCAGCTCTCGTGTCCAGTAAGCTTGCTAGGCCTGGTTTTCCCCAGCGGATCGACCAATGAGCGGGCCGGAGGCCGATGGAAGCAAGGAGGTATCGTGCGTCTTCTTCACGTCTGTTGAGGAATTGTGTGCTCATGTGGGATCGCGAAGAGCACCTATCATCACTCTCGGCCAGAATTTGCAGCCAGACGGCTCCGCGTCGGAGACGCTGTTGAACAGGCTGGATCTTGCGCTCGACCTGCAGCGCCGCACCCTTGGCACCGATCATCGTCACTGGGGGTGACCCGGCGGGGGTCGGCGAGACAGAGGCGGCCATGATGCATCGGTTGTTGGATGAGCGGGCAGGCGCCGACGCGTCGCCAGAGGTTCTGGAGGAGCCCGAGGCCAAGAGCACGATCGAGAACGCCTTGTTCACGGCGCCGATCTTGCGCGGCTTGCAGGCCGAGGTGGCCATCTTGCTGACGAGCGAGTTCCACTTGCCCAGGTCGGCGCTGCAGTTCGAGAGCACGTTCGCGCACAAGGGTCTGGCGGTCACGTTGCTCTGCGTGGCGGCACCCAGCGGCCATCCGCGGCTGCCATCCCGCACGCCGAGGCCCTGGGAGAGCTCGGGCCTAGAGCTAGCCGCCTTCAACATCCCGCAGCACCTGAAGAACGGCGGGGAGGACGTGAACTTCTGGTACTTCGCGGAGCGCGTCGAGTTTGAGCTCATCCTGATGAACAACAAATTCGGGCCGCAGCTCTCCTCGCTGGGCATCGCGCTGCCGCCAGAGGCCCGCATCGAGGAGGTGCGCGCGCAGCTGCGAGAGATCCTCGCAGCCGCGGTGAGCGAGCCCGGGCCTCCCCCATCCCAGAGCTGACCGCACTACGGGAAAGAAATGCTGAACAAAAAATAGCGCTCCCCGAAGACACCTGTCCCAATGCAGAAAAGCGCCTCCCGGAGCCTCTTGGGGACTCCTGGGGGCGGGGTGACCGAAAAGCGCTCCCCGAACACATCACTATCCCAACACAGAGAAGCGCCTCCTGGTGCCTCCTGGGGCCCCCTGGGCGCGGGAAGGCCGAAATGTGCTCCCCGAACAAACATCACAATACAGAGACGTGCCTCCTTGAGCGGAGGGAGGGGCCGAAAAGCGCTCTCCGAACAAATATCCGAATACAGAAAATGCCTCCTGGGGCCTCCTGGGGGCGGGAGGGCCACATATCCCTGGAGCGTCCTGGGGCCTCCTCGGGCTTCCGCAGATAGCGGCAAGAGTGCTCTGACGGATTCCCCTGTGCTGCTGAATTGCAAGGAAGTCTCAAGCGAAACGGCCGTTCCGGCATCCGCGAGTAGCAGCAATAATGCTTTGAAGGACCCCCTTGTGGTGCTAGGCTATGAGTAAATCTCGAGCGGTAAGGCCGTGCCGGCATCCGCGAGTAGCAGCAACCTGGTTTTGAAGGACCCCCTTGTAGTGCAAACTTGTGAGGAAGTCTAACGCGAAACGGCCGTTCTGGCATCCGCAAGTAGCGGCAAGATAACCCGAAACGCTTGAGCGGGAGCTTCAATGTCGAAGGAAGAGCATCTGGCGCCGAGGCGAGAGCGTCAGATCGTTTATAGGGGTCCAACAGCAATCCTTGTGTAGTGTTTAATATCCGTAATGGCTTCGCCCCCTGCCGCCTGCCCTCTCTATCATAATTGGATCTAACAGAGTCGCGTCGGTGCGTCTCGGCGCTGCCTGGGACATGTGGGGGTCGGGCCACTATTGTATGATGTTCTAACTTGTTTTAGCCTTGATTACCAAAAAGTGTCGGGCCCTGGGAGGCGACACTCGTTCGACATTGTTTCGATACTTTTCTGGGTGCTTGAAATCATTTTTGGGATGTGGTTGTTAAGTACGATGGGAGCAACATAAGCCAAGCCTTCAGTCGGGCATGTCCCTCTACAAAAGGAAAATTCAAACATAGTCAAATCATAGTCTGGGGGCGATTTTCGGCTATGTTTGATTATGCTTGATTATTTTTGGACTATTTTTGACTTTTCGCCTGTAGGAGGACATGCCCGACCTGAGCCCAGCCATGCGATGTCTAGCTTTCCTGCGCTGCGCGGCCCCCAGAAGTTCCGACCCTTTCCCCAGGGCCGTCTTCTCTTCCCGACGCAGAGATCCGAGGATCTGATTTTTTCAATCTGGCGTTTTCTCTTGGTTTTTGGCCTCGGGGGACCGATATCGGGCCCAGGGACCATCGAAAATGAACCTGGGACGAAAAACCACTCCCGGGGAAGGGTCCGGGGCCCCTGGGGCCGCGGATTGAAAAAGTCATATCGGCGGAAGTCTGGGGAGTTGTTTCTTGATGGTTCCGCGGCCTGGCGAGGGCCCCCGGAGGCCGAAGACGACGAAGCATCTTCGTCCTGATATTTTGTCCAAGGCGTTGCCTGTCTGGGGACGGGAACTCAGGGGGCCCAAGAGGGGCACAACGAGTCTCCCGCGCGGTGACCTCCTTCGCGCAACTGCGGCAGGACCTGAAAGCGTGGCTGCGCCAACTTTTAGGCCAGGTCTCAGACAGGCTGTTTTTTAGATTTAAAGCGCTCCTCGCGGGCATGCTTGATGAATAAATCCTTTGGTGTGCCGTGGTCTGATCACGGCGAAAATCACCAACAATGTTAGCAAGCCCTCTGGTCCGCAGACGTCGAAGGGAAAATTGCAGCGTCCGAGAAACAGCGTTGAACGGGCCAAGTCCCCACCAGCCCATCCAGAAACGATGCTCAGGGGAGTTGAGGTGATCAGGGAAGTCGGGGAGCATGCAGAATAACAAAGGGCGGGGGAAGCTGTCACAGACCCCGAGAGGGGGAGGATGGAAGAGGAGTCGTCGTCGTCGTCGTCGTCGTCGGAGGAGGAGGAGGAGGAGGGGGAAGAGGAGGAGGAGGAGGAGGAGGAGGAGGACGGAGAAGGAGGAAGAATCGGAGGAGGAGGAGGAGGAGGGGAAGGAGCTTCTTGGGGGTCTTTTGAGGGCCTCTTGGAGGGCTTTTTGGGCGCCTTGGGGCATCTTGGGCGCCTCTTGGGACCCTCTTGAGGCGCTCTGGGGAGCCTTCGGGGCGCTTTTGGGGCCATCTTGGAGGGAGTCGATCAAACAAGAGGGGGGGTTTAATTAGCGCCCCCCCTCGGAAGCCCCTAAAATCGCCTCTTGGACCCCTCTTGGAACGCTCTTGGAGTGCTCTTGGGCGCTCTTGGGGCCGTCTTGGGGCTCTTTTGGGGCTCTCTTGGGGCCCTCTTGGGCCATCTTGGAGCCATCTCCAGGCCTCGGATGGCCATCGGAAGCGAAAAGGCGAGAAAGCAAAAATCATTGATTTTCCTTAGGTTTTGGGACGATTTTGGCCTCTTCGGGGCCTCCTTGGGGAGCTGTTTGGCCACTTGGAGTTATCTTGGGGCCGTCTTTGGGCTTCTTGGAACCATCTTAGGAGCCATCTCGAGCGATCTTGCGCTATCTTGAGCCATCTTGGAGCTCATCTTGGGTTCTCTGAGGCGCTCTTGGAGCCGTCTTGGGCCATCTGGGACGCTCTAACTACCCGCGGCCCCCCCCGTCCAGGTCCAGGGGAGGGGGTAGGGGGAGGGGTAAACCCCTCCCCAAGGGGGAAGAGGGAGGGGTGGAAGAGGATCTGCTCTAGACCACCTACGCCCAGAGGGCTGGTGGGATTGCAGCGTCCGAGAAACAGCGTTGAACGGGCCAAGTCCAGGCCCAACACGGTGCCGAAAACGACGAAAGACCTTCTGCGTCGGCGGCGAGGCGGGGGCGATCCGCACCAGCGTCGGGCTTACCGGGGGCACTGGTGGGCAAACTGTCTGGCGTGCAAGAGACGGGGGGGGGAGGTGGGGCGGCCGCGCGGGGGGAGGAGGGAGTCGGAAGCTGGAACATGTACATTACCAGTGGCGGGTTGTTTTTTCAATCCCAAGACTTGTTGAGGGTCGGGGACGACGTCGGGGTGGTTTTGTGTATACTTTTTTTCCCCCGCTTCCCCAGGGAAACAACGAAACATGTATACACCAGGGCCCCATATACACCAGGATCCGCTTCCTCGTGAGAGTTTCAGCGCAGGCCCAGAAAAAGCGTTGGTGTATAGAGTTCGGTTCCCTGGGAAGGCGCTCAGAAGCGGAAGACCTCTGCGGTGAGCGGGCCGGGGCGGCCCGCCGGGGCGGCGAGAGGTCGTCGCGGCGGCAGCCGGGGCCGGGGTCAGAGAGCGCACCCGCGGGCGCTGCGCCGGGGCGCAGCAGTGGTGAGGAGTGAGGAGCCTCTTTGTGTTCTCACGCCGCTGCCTGTGCGGGGGGCCCCCCGAAGGCCGGTGCCGAGGAGCCGCGGCCCGGCCGGGCTCTCGGCCGCCCCAGGGTTCTCCGGGCGCCCCGAGGTGCTCGGCGTGATCGGCGACGCAGTGGCCAACAAGACCACGGCCGCCACGGTGCGCTTCAGCCAGAAGGTTCGGTGGCAAGTCACGGGCGCCTCGTGTGCCCTCGCAGCTCTGTCTGGAGAGGGCGTCAGCGCCGAGGAGCGTCCGTCGATCAGATGCGCCGATCTGCCGTCGGTTCTGCGTCGATCTAGCGTCGAATTGGCGTCGATCAGCGTCGAGTTGGCGTCGATTCGCAAGAGCCAGCGAGATGGTATGCTGGGAGGCTCCCGTGAGTTGCCGCAGAGGAGAGGCGAGGCTCGAGGGCCCCCTGCGGGAATTTACACGTATGACCACCGCCCGGGGAATCGATCATCGGGGACCTCGGCAGGCGGTGGATCTATGGATCCATTCGGCACCCCTGTGGGCAAAGTATATCCACATGTGCCACGCCCCGGGATCCCCCTCTTTGGCCGGGAGCCGCAAGAGGGATCAGGGCTGAGGGGCTCCTCTTCCACTCTCGGCTGCGATCTGGGTCGATTCCCCGGGGGCTGGCGAGCTTGGAGAGCCCCACCCAGCTTGTGTTGCATCTTCGGGTTCACCCATCCTGCGGCAGGTTCTCGTCGTGTCGACCAGCCTCGGCGCCTGTGGCCCAGAATCGGCCCATGCTTGAACGATCTGGCCTTTTTTGAAAGGGCCGATCGTTCAAGCCTAGGGGAACGAACAAAAATACACAAGCATGAAAACTCGGAGGGCCGCGCGGATTTCTTAGATCTGCGCTGGATCCCCCTCCCTGGCGCGCGGAGCGCGCCTAAAGGGGAACGAACAAAAATACACAAGCATGAAAACTCGGAGGGCCGCGCGGATTTCTTAGATCTGCGCTGGATCCCCCTCCCTGGCGCGCGGAGCGCGCCTAAAAGGCGGCGCTGCAGGCGCCGCCAGGGGGCCCCAGCGCCGATCCGAGAAATCCGCGCGGACCTCCGAGTCTTTCTGCTTACAGTCAACCCGCATAGTAAGGGCGGGCAACCTTCCCAACGGTACCCTTGCATCCCTGCATCCTCGGTGCATCCATGGCCACGTTCGTTGGCCGCGCCCCGCTCGAAAACTTCGACATGGGCTTCCAAAGGCCTTGCATCCTCATCGCGCATCCGTACTGTACGGGCTGCACGGGTTGACTGTGTGCCACTGCTCGCTCCCCCGAAGCTTGTCCGTTCCCTGGGCCTTTACCAAACCACAGCCCCACCCTGCTCGATTCCTTCCTCGGGTGCGTGTGCTAAACGGCTCCGCTCGTCGGGGTGCTCGTTATCGGGGTGGACCTTCTGCCTTCTGCTGAAGCTCGCACGGCCCCCGCGGTCTCGGGGGCCAGCGCCGGGGCCGGCGCGGCGCGGGCCTGCCGCGCGCGGCCGGGCTGCACCCCTCCGCTGCCCGCCGGGGGGGCCCCCGCGGGGCGGCGGCGCCCCGGGCGGCGGCCTCCCCTCGCGAGGGCCCCAGGGCTCCGCACGCCGTGGTCTCGCCTCGACGCCCGGCCTCGCGCCCTCCCCCGGGGGGCCTCGGCGCAGGGCGGGCAGGTCCCTCTGCACAGGAGGAGGGTTCAGAGACAGGCTTCTGTCGGGCGTGTCCCCCATACAGGGGGACTGTCGACGAAAAAGAAAAGATATCCCAAGAATGACCCCCAAAAAGGTTTAAAAAATACGAGAAAATAGTCCCCAGAGCATTTTTGGACAATTTTGGGCAATTTTGGATTATTTTTTTGGGTATTTCTTCTGTTTCGTCGATAATCCCCCTGTGGGGGGACAGGCCCGACTTACGCATAGCCCACAGAATCGTCCGGGGATGGTTTTTGGAGTGCTTCTGGATATTTTCGGGGTATGCTTTTGGCGATTTTGGATGTCGTCCAAAGTCCGCCTGCAGGAGGGCACGCCCGACCTGAGCCTCGGCCCGCGGGGAGGCCGCCTCTCGGCGGCGCGCCCGGGAGGGACATCTGCGTCACGCGGCTCAGGGATCTACGGCGAAGTCGGGCGTGCCCCCCCCTACGGGAGGAATCGAGATTTTTGACTACGTTTGAAGATTTTTTGGCCATGTGGTGCTTTCCGTCTCACATCTCCCTGTAGGAGGACATGCCCGACCCGAATCTACGGACCTGGGGCATTCCAGACCCGGGTCGGTCGGGCTTTGCAGGACCCTGCAAGATGACCCTCTCGGGCCGGACGAAAGGGGGGGATTGGGAAAGGGGGGGTTACGAAATTTGCAGCATGCAGCTGGTTTCGGCCTCACCGAGGGGCCCATTCCTCGATACATAGCCGCCTCTGGCGCCGGGAGGCGCCGGGAAAAATCAGCTACGTGAGCTGATTCTCAAACCCCCCTTTGCTATCCCCCCCTTTCGCCCGACCCGACCCTGGCCCTGCAAGCTCCTGCAAGATGCTGGCGCTCCGGCGGTCCCCCGCTTGCATATGGACGCGCGTCGCGCGGCCCCGCGAGAGGCCCGAGAAAGGCGCCCCCTCCCCCCCCCACCACCCCTTTGGGGCCGAGGAAGAGGGCCCCCCGCCGGGGCTGGAGGGGCGCCCGCGTCGGCGGAGAGGTCGGGGCCCTCCTCCCCGATCATCGGTCGCTCGCGCCCGCCCTCGAGGGCTCTCCCCCGGAGGGCGCCCCGACCCGAGCCTCGAGGCCGGCCTGGCCGCGGCAGCGCGCGGGTGCCCCCGATCGGGAGCGAGGGGATCGGCGGCGAGCCCGGGGGGGGTGGGTGGGTGGAGAAGGAGAGGGCCTTCCCAGGAGTCTCGGCAGCCCCCCGGCCTCCCGAGGCGTCCTCTGGGCTTTCACCGCAGGCACCGAGCGAGATCTCCCAGAATGCTGGGGCGCTTCTGGGAATCCATTCTCCATCTCTCACCTCCCCCCTCGCAGGATCCTGCAGGACCCTGCAGGATCTTGCAGGGTCCCGCAACGCCCGACTGCCCCATGGCCTGGGTCAGAAGACCCCCGAGCCACGTGGCCATCAAGAAGCGGTCCCAGGTTCGGCCTCGCGCAGAGTGGGGGAGGATTTTTGGAATCGCCTGAGCTTCTAAGAAGGCGCGGGCTCTGTCTGTAGATGCAAGGCTGGCGCCCTCTAAGAAGCAGCCGCCCTCTAAGGGGCCTTCCCCCCTCGCCCTGCCCCCCCCCTGCGCGCCGCCAGCAGACGAAACGCTGGCTCGAGGAGGGAGCCGACGTCTGAGGGCTACCGAGATGGGCACCCAGTAACGTGTATTATACTGCGGCAGCGCGCAGGGCAGACGACAGGAAGGCGCCACTCAGACCCTCCTGCGCCGATCCGAGCCTGGGCCTGCTGCGTGATAGCCCATCGGGGCGGCGCTGAGGAACCCTGGGGTCCAGGGGTCGAGCAACTCACGGCGTCGGAGCTCTGGGAAGGCCGTGTCCCTGAGGTTGGCCAAGCGGCTGGCGGCATCGCCCGGCTTCATGGAGGCGCGCCGCTGGGGCCGCCGGGGCCGTCGTCGTCATCGTGGTCTTTGTGGTCTTTGTGGTTCTTGTCGTCTCTGTGCTTGTCGTCTTCGTCTTTGCCGCCTTCGTCTTATGATGTTTCAACCTCCTTTAGCCCTCACCACCAGAAAAAATTCGAGCACCAGGAAAGTACCAACATCTGAGGGTCTTCACGAGTCGGACCCTTGGAGGCGGTACTCGTTCGACGCTTTTCCGATACTTCTCTTCTGGGTGCCCGACACCAGCATGACGGGAGCAACATGATCTTTCTCGTCTCTGCTCGGTGGCGGGCGCTTTCTGGTCACACCGCCTGGGTATAACGATGTGCGGAGCTGTAGCTGTGCTGTCTGCTCGGTCCAGACGTGCGCCTCCCCGGGGGGCGCGCATTACAATCGCGCCTTTGTGCGTCCAAGCGGAGCCCGTTGGAGCCAAAGGGCTTCATTCAGTGTTAAGTCGGGCATGTCCCTCCACAGGAAGAATACTCAAAAATCGTCACAGAATAGTCGGGGGACGATCTCTCGAGCATGCTTGACAGTTCTTGAATATTTGGTTCTCGCATTTGGTATATTCCCTCCAGAATCCTCCTGTAGGAGGACGTGCCCGACATACGTCTGGTGGGCATGCAGCTGGACTTTGCCCCCTTCCCGGGCAGCCCGTCGTCGCCGCCACCCGCCCGGGAGGCCGCGGAGGCCGCCGCGGAGGCGGCCGAGGCGCCCAGCTTCCTGCAGAGGCGCGCGCGCGCCCCCCCTGCCGCAGGAGTTCGCGGCCGCCGCGCCGCCGGTCGCCGTCGTCGCCGTGCTCGTGGTCGTCTTTGGCGCCGTTGTCGCGTGTCGAGGACGAGAACATCAACCTAAACTTACAAAAACGTATTGACGTGGTCGTTGTCGTGCCAACGCCATAAACATAAGCTTTTGGCGCTCCGCGCGGGTTTCTTGGCTCCGCGCTGTGCCCCCCCCCGTGGCGCCTCCGGCGCCGCCCCTGGCGCGCTCCGCGCGCCAGGGAAGGGGGCCCAGCGCGGAGCCAAGAAATACGCGCGGAACGCGAAAAGTTCATGTCGCAACCATTGCGGCGTCTTCCCCCGTGGCATCAGCTACCCGCTAGGCTAGGACCCCGAAAGCCCTGCGTGCCTCGGGGTCCCACCCGCCGCCGTGGGCTACCACCACCATAAGGAGGAAGGAGAAGCCCTGTGCCGCGCAAGGCCGCGCACTGTCCTGGTGCTGCCTTTTGATCTCCTCGTGCCGCTCCGTCGCCGCGCTCAACGAAGCGGCCGGTGCGGGGAGGAGATCGGCACGCAACACAAACGTGGCGACAAAGTCCCAGGCAGCCGCCGTGCCGTTGCGCTACCGTGGAAGCTAGACGTCGGCAAGGCGGCGGCCGGTGTCGTCCACTTGGGGCCTGCCGTGCTCGCCCTGGGGGTGGCCTCCCCAGCGGGGCGCGGGGTAACAACCCTGGGCGCTCCAACTCCACCCCGGCGTGGCCAGCGGCCAGGGCGTCGAAAAAGGCCTCCCGGGACACGTCATGGGTCAGGGTGTCGGTTGTCGTCGTCGCAGCCGTCGTCGTCGCCGCCGCCGCCGCCGTTGTCGCTGTCGTTGTTGTTGTTTTCGTTGTCGACCTCGCAGCCGTCGTCTCCATCGCCGTCGCCGTCGCCGTCGCCGCCCCCGTCGTTGTCGTCGTCGTCGTCGTAGGTGGAAGGAATCAGAGGGAAGAGGGAAGATAGGGGGAGGGATGAAACAAGGGGGATGGGGAGGATCACGCGGGGGAGGAAAAGGAGAAAGGCGATGACGACCTGTAGAGAAGAGAACGAGTGGGGAGGGGGTAGCAGGAGGGATGAAGATGGAAGAGGGGGGGATGGGGGTCAAGCCAGGTGCGCTTTCGTCATGTCTGGCACCATGCCCCTCGCAGCTATCCCCTTCCATTGCGCTGAATTATTTTCTATTCATCGGTTGTGACAGCCTAGACGGTTTGAATTCCCCAAATTACCTTTTCGTGTGATGCGCAGTCAGGACGGGGGGCTCTGTACATTGAGCGAAAAGGAGAAGGAGGAGGAGGAGGAGGAGGAGGAGGAGGAGGATGAGGATGATGATGATGATGAGGAGGAGGAGGAGGAGGAGGAGGAGGAGGAGGATACATAGCAGGATGATGAGGGAGAACAGGCAGCCGCAGCAGGAGTGGGATGAGTAGGAGGAGCAGCAGGTCCAGGTGAAGGCGGAGGAGGGAAGCGGAAGGTGGGCGGCAACGGCGAGGAATTCATCGGATTCACAAGTCCGGCCGCGTTGGGGCGACAACGCACGTCCCAACGACAGCAGCACACCGCCGACCTTGACCTGCGGCCATCGCCGCAGCGGAAGCCCGATTTTTCAGACCGAAGTCGCCCACGTGGAAAACACACGACACATCAACTTCAGAGCTTCCGTGCGCGAGGCAACATTATGGGGGAGGGGCGACGCCCCCGCACAGCACAATTTCAAGGGAGAGAGGAGAGTATCATTGAATCGCTTCGCTCATTCCGCCAGCCCATATTGCATCACTGGTGCTACATGTTTGTATGATCGTTGCGAGCGAGAAGGAGAAGAAATAATAATAATAATAATAATAAGAAGAAGAAGAATAATAAGAATACTAAGAAGAATAATAAGAAGAAGAAGAATAATAAGAAGAAGAATAATAATAATAAGAATAATAATAAGAATAATAATAAGAAGAATAATAATAATAATAAGAAGAAGAAGAAGAAGAAGAAGAAGAAGAGGAGGAGGGGGAGGAGGAGGAGGAGGAGGAAGAGGGGGGATGAGGATGAGGAGGAGGCGGCGTCACAATGGCTTCTTGTGGCATTATGTGGCCAAATTGGTCATGGACAAGACGCCGCTTTCGGAGGATCTTTCGGGGAAGGGTTCGAAATCTCAATTCGGGTTCCGTCGCTTGGGGCTTCTTGGAGGGTTTCTAGAGCGTTCTTTGGGAGCCCCTTGGTGCTCTTTTGGGAGGGCTCTTGGTAGCCTCTTGGAGAGTCTTGAACGCGTCGTGGGTCGTCTGGAAGCCATCTTGGATGTCTCGGACGGACTGTGCCATGGCTAGCGTTTGGGGGCCTCTTTGGGGCTTCCGGGGGGCCTCTTTGGGGGGGGGGCTCTTGTGGGGTTCTCTTGGGGGCTCTTGGCGGCCTTTTGGAGTCTCTTGGGGGGCTCTTGGGGGCTTCTTGGGGCCTCCTGGGCGCCTCGTGAGGCCGAGGGCTCGAAATGTCAGTTCGGTTTCCCCGTCAGGCCCCCTCCTGGGGCCGTCCTGGCGGTATCTTGGGCCGTCTTGGAGCCCTCTTGGGCCATCTTGGGGCCCTCTTGGGCCCTCTTGGGCCCTCTTGGGGCTCTCTTGGAGGCCTCTTGGGCCGTCTTGGGGGGATCTTTGGGGCCTCTTGGGCCGTCTTTGAGCGTCGGGAAGCCGAACAGATGAGAACGCCCAAATCCTAAAACATTCGTTGGGAAATCGATGGTTTTTGCCTCCTGGCGCCCTCTTGAGACGCTTCTTCGAGGCCTCTTTGAGCGTCTGGGGGGCGTCTGCGGCCGTCTGGAGGCTATCTTAGGCGTCTTGGACTGGATCGGTCGGCGACTCGGAGCCCTCTTGGACCGTCTTGGGGACTCTTGGGGCCCTCCAGGAGCGCTGTGGGGTGCCTGAAAGCCGCGCCCAGAAGGACAACCATCTCTGGGTCGGACCGCCCGGGGTACTTTTCGTCCGGGGACCCCCAGGAGCCGCCCGCGCGTTCGAACTAGAAATATTGTTTACCAGTAGCCGGAGATCTGAGCACGCCTCTGGCCCGTTGAGCCGGCGAATTCATATTGTATGATTCTTAAGTCACTTCCCGCGCCATACCTGACATCATATCCCTCCCAGCCATCCCGTCCCATAGCGCTGAAACATTTTGTGCCCACCGACTGGTGTGTCCTACGGGACTCTGACCTCCCAACGACCCCATCGTGCAGTGCACAATCAAACACGGGGACTTCGGATGAGGAGCAATATGATGAAGCAGGTGGATAACAGCAGCAGGAACAGGAGGAATAGGACAAACGGGAGGAGCAGGATGATCAGGGGAAGGCGGAAGAGGGAAAAAGGATGGGGGCGGTGATGATGAGGAAGGAGCCGCATCCAGAAAGGTGGCACGCGCAGGAGCGAGAGCACCATTCGGAGTCACTGGATCACAGCACCGATCCTGAAATGTGGTCAACGCTGCGGCGTGAACATCCGCTTCGAAGGACCGAGAGCGTTCCGATCGAAACAAGCACGTAAACCATCAAGCGATGACATCTGTGTGTGAAAAGTCAATTCGCGAGAAAGCGGGGGCTGTTCCCCATATGACCATGGGAGGAAGGAGAGTGTTTGGTGAGCGTATCGAAGAATTTGAGTGTAGAGTGAGGAGGTTGGGGAGATAGGAGGGAGAAGGGATGGGGGGAGTAGGGAGTAGGTAGGTGGAAGAGGCTGCGGAGGAGGAGGACGCGGAAGGATGGGAGGAGGGCAAGGAGGAGACGTGGAACGAGTGATGAGGTGGGGCGGGGTCGGAGAGGACGGAGGCTGGACGAGGAGTGAGGAGCGAGTTCCGGGAGCGGGGTGACAGGCGGAGAAGAATGAACGGGAGAGGGGGGGGAGGGAGGAGGCATAGATGATATGGAGGAAACACAGGGGCGCGAGGGTGCAGCTGAATTCGAGTTGGGCACGGCCTGCGCGATGACGACGACAGACGACGACAGACGACGGCGGCGGCGGCGGCTACGACGGCGGCGACGACGACCACGATCTCTGGACCCGTCCGGGGGCGCATTCCGACCAGACTCTGAGGGCGGATCCAGCCTTGGTGGCGACGGCTTCGTCGGAGAAAGCGTCAAAAACGGCCAAACACCTGTGATCCTCGAGCCCTCGATCTTCGACGACGACGGCGCCGAGAGCTCTCCCGGAGCGCGGTGTCCGACCAGAACTTCAGGGCGCATCCCTGCAGGAACCGGAGAAGCCACACGGGTGATTTATCCAAGAGACACCTCAAACCTGGATGCGTCGATGCTCCTTGGAGGCGACGGCCCTTGGAGGTCCACGGAGATCACTGGGGGCCTCTGATGGTCCCCCGAGGCGTCCAGAAGCCCAGACACGGGCGAACACGCCTTCTGTCCTCGTTCTTCCCCAGTTTTGCTTGGCCCCCGTAACAAAGCCCAGCACGTGGGCGAGTGACCGCCGGAGCGGTGCTTGCGTTGCGGTGCCCAGGAGGGGTGGGCGCTGCGGCCCACCAGATTCTGATACCCTTTTTTTCCCCTCCCATCCCTCCAGCGTCTTCGTCATCTTTGCCCTCTGCCCGCTCCCTGCTCATCTCATTTGCCATCGACCTTTCCTGGGCAAGGATCAAAGTCGTCGCTGAGCAGAGCACCTCTGCTTCAAATCGTGGAGCCTCTTCACCGTGTGGGCGTGTAGGCGCGGCAGCGCACGCGCAAGCCCTGCGCTCGCACCTTGCGCCAGGCTGCGTCAGCGCCGGCAGGGGGGCGGGCGCGACGGCGCGTCTGCGGCGATCGGCCGCGACGCCGACGACGACGACGACGCTGACGACGACGACGCTGACGACGACGACGACGGCGACGACGACGGCGGCGGCGGCGGCGACGACTGCGGCGGCGGCGACGGCGACGACGACGTTCCTCGATGCTCGACGCCGCCGCCGCCGCAGGCGGCACGCCCCGCACACCGACGCGGAGAGGGCCGCGGCTGCGGCCAGGGGCCGCGAGGCCGCCGCGCGGGCGCCGTCCATGCGGTCGCCGCCCGCCGCGTTTCTCCGCCGTCGTCGGTGCGCCGTCGGGGAGGGCCCAAGGCTGGAGGGATCCAGGGTCAAGGCGGGCCTGTCCCTCTACAGGGGGAATGTTCAAAAGTAGTCACAAAATAATGTGGGGACGATTTTTTGAGTATTTCTTGACGATTTTGGAATATTTTTGGGATATTTTTTATTTTTTGTCGAGAATCCCCCTGTAGGGGGACACGCCCGACTTAAATCCAGGGTCTCGAACAAGAATCGGCCGCGGGCGAGGGGGGAAGCGAGAAGGAGAAGGTCTTCTCTTTTTGTGGGTGGATCTCTCAAGCTCTCCGCCGCCTCTGGCGCTGTGCGCTGCGAGCAGGAACACGGCAGAGCCACAGGAAGCGCGGCATTCGCAGTGTAGCTCCGCGCACGTGGCACATGTTTGCGAGCAAGAAGCACAGCAAAGCCCCAGGAGACCGATGCATTGACAGTGTAGCTCAACATTGACACGGTAGTGGCCGGGGAGCCCCTGCGACATGTCCACGAGCGAGCCCTCGCGCCTTCTGGGAAGTTTTCGGTGCCTTCGGGGAAGGCTCAGAGAACTTCTCAGGAGGCCGTGGGAATTCCGAGCCTTCTGAGAAGGCCTTCTCCTTCTCACCTATTTCCCTCGCTCGCCGCCGAAAGAAACAATCGGATATAGCCAGGACCCTGGGTACGGGGAGCCGGTTAGCGATTGGTCCCCGAAGCTCAACCGTGTGTCCAGGATCACGAAATGAAGTCCGCCTCCGCCGTAGCTTGGTATCGCCCTGGGTGACGGCAGCTGCGGTTCGTGGAAAGGGGGCGGGGCGGGCGTCCACCCGTGCACAGCGCCGAGCCAGGGCCCACTGAACCCAGTTCCGCCAACGCCCGAAGCTTTCGGACGTCCGCGCAGACCTCCGACAGTGTTTACGTCTCATGTTGTTCTCCGTTGGAGGATCGACGGTCGAGTTCGGAGGCTCTGGGCTGTTGATGGGGCTGTCTTGGGCCTCCAGGGGGCGCCCTCGTCGCTGCGGCTGGATCCATCTCGAAATTCTGGTCCGAAGGCGCCGACAAACAGGTCCGATGGCCGTCGTCGTTTTCCCCCCTGCTCCTCGTCCTCATCCCTTCTTCTTCTTCTCCTCCTCCTCCTCCTCCTCCGCCTCCTCCTCTGCCTCCTCCTCCTCCTCCCTCCCTGCCTCTCCCCTCCGCGCTCCTCCCCTCGTCCTCCCCCGTTCGCGCTTCCTCGCGAGCCTCTGTCCTCCTTCTCCTCCTCCGCCTCCTCCTCCGCCTCCTCGACTCCTCCTCCCTCTCCTTCTCCTCCTCCTTCTCCTCCTCTGCGCCCCGCCGCCTGCTCCTCTTCAAATGCAGTGCTGCTGCCTTCGCCGCCAGGTGGGTGTGCTCACAACTCCGGGCCCCCCCTATGCGTGGGCCCGCAACCTCCTCTTCCTCCTCGTCCTCGTCCTCGTCGTCGTCCTCGTCGTCGTCGTCGTCGTCGTCGTCGTCGTCGTCGGCGTGCTCGTCCTCCTCGTCGTCCTCTTTCCTCCTCCTCCTCCTCTTCTTGCTCCTCATCGTCCTCCTCCTCGTCGTCGTCCTCGTCCTCCTTCCTCTTCCTCCTCCTCCTCCTCCTCCTCTTCCTCTTCCTCTTCCTCCTGCTTCTCGTCCTCTCCCTCGTCGTCGTCCGCGTCCTCCTCCTTGCCCCCCGCGCAGTCGCTCCCGTGCGCTCGGGGAGTGAAGGAGGCTCGAGGCGCCCCGAGAGTTCGAGGAGATCGGGAGCGTTGCTTTTGTTGTTGTCGTTGTTGCTGCTGTTGTGGTTGTTGTTTTTGTTGTTGTTGTTGTGGTTGTTGTTGTCGTCGTTGTTGTTGTTGTTGGTGCTGCTGCTGTTGCTGTTGCTGTTGTTGTTGCTGTTGTCGTTGTGGTTGTTGTTGCTGCTGTTGTTGCTGCTGTTGTTGTTGTAGCTGGTGTTGTCGTCGTTGTGATTGTTGTTGCTGCTGTTGTTGTTGTAGCTGGTGTTGTCGTTGTCGTTGTCGTCGTCGTCGTCGTTGTCGTTGTCGTTGTCGTTGAACATTATTTATTCTAAAGAATAATTATTGTTGGGCCCCCTGGTGCGCGCCCCCCCTGCGCCGCCTAGGCCGCAGCTACATTTTCATCATTTTCGTGAGGAAGCCTCAGAAAAGAGGGTGTGTACAGGATCCGGTTGTTTTGTTGTAATCCGCTTTCCCTTGCAAAAAACAATAGAAAATGACATTTCTTGTTCTAATATAATCAAATTTCAAGAATCCCTTGCAAAAAATAAGGTAAAGTGGACATTCGCGCGCGCAAGACGAAATCCTTCCAAAACCTTAGTGTTCGCAGCGATTTTAACATAAAAACATCAAAAAACCAATGGTTTTTCAACAAAAAATGTCAAAATCTCATCCCGCGCGCTCTTGCGGATTCGTAGGAAACCCAACACTTTTTAAACATTTCTGTCAAACGGGCTTTTGCGAGCAACTTTTTCGAACTTCTGCGACAACGGTTGCGCACCTGCCAGGGCCATCATCCCTGTCAAATAATACCATGCGGGACACATTCGTTTTTTCTTCGCGCGCGCACGCCGAAATCTCCAAAAACCATTGGGCTTCTTAAGAATTTTAGCACCGCGCATCATAAAATCACACGAATCGCACCGTAGGTCCTCGAAAAACACCTGCACGAACGTTTAACAACTTCTACGAACGTAGGCTTAACAACTTCTGTGGGTGTGTACTCCACGCCAGTGTAGTAGCCACGGTCGTCCGCAGGCCACGAAGTGAAGTGTCCGAACGTCATAGGGCGGGAAGCTGGGTGTGGGTGGTGGCGAAGAGTCGTGTGGATATTTGGTAGAGCTTGCACTGCCCCCCCACAAAGTGGGGGTATTGGCTGGCGTCGCATGAAAACCCTGGCACTGGTGAGAACACTGAGCGTTCGGGTAAAGTGATTGTTGTTGTTGTTGTTGTTGTTGTTGTTGTTGTTGTTGTTGTTGTTGTTGTTGTTGTTGTGTTGTTGTTGTTGTTGTTGTTGTTGTTGTTGTTGTTGTTGTTGTTGTTGTTGTTGTTGTTGTTGTTGTTGTTGCTGTTGTTGTTGTGGTGGTGGTGGTTGTTGTTGTTGGTATTGCTGTTGTTGATGATGTTGTTGTTGCTGTTGTTGTGGTTGTTACCTGTGCGCTTATGGGAGTTTCTCCAAGCCTTCGAGGGGGCCTGAGGAAGGGGTACGAATAGTCATACTAATCATGCTAATAAGAAGTCGAAGCGAACACCAATAACAATAGTACGTTGAACGCGATTACTATTAAGACTATAGGACTAATAATCCGAATGGTAATACAACGAATATCATTACTACTCATTGCTACGGAGGATACTACTAAGAATACTTACTATTAAGACTTCTGATATTACCAACACTTACGAATAACAAGGAGGGCGTGGAAGAGGATGGGGAGGATCGAGGCGGGGGAGGAGGGGCGGAGGATGAGGAGCAGCAGGAGCAGCAGGAGCAGCAGGAGCAGCAGGAGGAGGGACGGATGGATGGGGGAGGGACGGATGGCAGCGAGCCAGGAGCAGCAGGAGGAGGAAGAAGGGGGAGGGAAGAGGGCAGCGATTTGCCGCGCGCCGCATCCCGCAGGCCATCATTGACATGCTGAAGAGCCAGGCTCGTGCACTATCCGTTGGGGCTGAACGGGAGGGTCGCAGGAGGGAGACGCGGCACCAGCGCCACCGGCGGTGTCAGCCTGGCGTGGAGGTTCACGATGCTTCCTCGAGTCGGAGATTGGAGACGTCTCTCGAGCGGGACACCGAACAGCAGCGTCACTGCACAACGAGGACCTTCTTCTGCCCCGTCACGGTGATGGCGGTGGTGTCGACTTTCCATGCGAGGATCGTCGGCCGAGGAAGACGAGGAGGACGAGCGAGGCCAAGCGGGGTGTTTGGTACATGGCAACGAGCCACGGAGGAGTTTTGGGCACGAGGATGTTTGGCGACTGCGAGGGCCATGCCAATGATTGGCATCACACGGAACCAGACGCGATGCCACACCTGAGCGGAGGCTGGTCTCACGAGGCAATCGACGGAAATGTATTGTAGGGTCAGTGTCGTGCCCACAAGTCGTATTCCTGAGGAGGATGACAAGAAAGGGCAGACATGTTATTAGTGATGATGATGATTCGGATGCTGATGCTGATGCTGATGATGATTATGATGCTGATGTTGCTGATGATGATGATGATGCTGGTGATGATGTTGATGATGGTGATGCTGATGATGACGCTGATGATGACTATGATGATAATGACGATAATGACGATGATTCTGATGATGCTGATGATGCTGCTAATGATGATGATTGTGACGGTGATGCTGTCGCTGATGCTGCTGCTGATGATGATGCTGCTGCTGATGATGATGACGATGCTGCCGATTATGCTGATGTCGATAATGCTGATGATGTTGCTGATGACGATGATGACGATGATGGCGGTGGTGGTGGTGGTGATGATGATGATGATGATGATGCTGAGGTTGGGGATGGGGATGAGAGTGAGGATGAGGATGGGAATGCTGATAAGCATGATTGACGACGATGATGCTGCTGCTGATGATGATGAAGATGATGATGATGATGATGATGATGATGATGATGATGATGATGATGATGATGATGATGATGATGATGATGATGATGATGATGATGATGATGATGATGATGATGATGATGATGATGATGATGATGATGATGATGATGATGATGATGATGATGATGATGATGATGATGATGATGATGATGATGATGATGATGATGATGATGATGATGATGTGATGATGAGATGATGATGATGATGATGATGATGATGATGATGATGATGATATGATGATGATGATGATGATGATGATGATGATGCTGATGATGAATGATGATGATGATGATGATGATGATGATGATGATGATGATGATGATGATGATGATGATGATGATGATGATGATGATGATGATGATGATGATGATGATGATGATGATGATGATGATGATGATGATGATGATGATGATGATGATGATGATGATGATGATGATGATGATGATGATGATGATGATGATGATGAATGATGATGATGATGATGATGATGATGATGATGATGATGATGATGATGATGATGATGATGATGATGATGATGATGATGATGATGATGATATGATGATGATGATGATGATGATGATGATGATGATGATGATGATGATGATGATGATGATGATGATGATGATGATGATGATGATGATGATGATGATGATGATGATGATGATGATGATGATGATGATGCTGCTGATGATGATGATGATGCTGATGATGGTGATGGTGGTGGTGGTGATGATGATGACGATGATGATGATGACGGTGATGATGAGGAGGAGGAGGAGGAGGAGGAGGAGGAGGAGGGGAATGAAACAGTCTGAGCGAGCTGTGGACGTGGCTCGGTGGCTGATCGTCCGAACGCCATCGGCGAGACAGGTAATTAGCATGAGACGTCGGACTCCTCGGCTACGCTCGAGGAAGAGGAGGAGGAGGAGGAGGAGGCAGAGAAGGAGAAGGAGGAGGAGGGGAAAGGGGAGGAGGCGGAGGTCTTACATGATGTTTGGAGGGACCCATGTGTGGATTGTATGTAGATTACTGGCACAATGATGTGATCGGTCTGGCTGCTATTTTGTCTGTATGTCCTTATCTGTGGGTTCATGCTGTCAGGAGCAGGGAGAGAGTTTCGTGCGCATCGTCTTCTGAGTTTTTTCTGTCCCTTCTCGTGCCTTGCATGAGCCTTGGATTAGATGCGAACCTGTGAAGCTGGGAAGGCGAAGGAGAAGGAGGATTAATGTGGAGGGAGTGTTGGGTGGGGCAGGGAGGCAGGAATTCGGGAAGATTCGGGGGAAGCGGAGGACGACGAGGCTGATAACCATGAAGGGGTGTGTGTTCACCCCTCGTCCGCACGCGTTTGCACTCTGGACCGGTATTCCCATGCCCCCTCTCAGCTGGACCGGTATTCCCATGCCGGTCTCGTGGGGATGGGTTCTGAGCCCCCCCGGCTCGCCTCGCCCCTCCTCGCTTGCCGCTGCCACTGCAGGACTGGAGGTGAGGAGAGAGGATCCCACCGCGCCGCAGATAGATGTTCCCGGATAGCTCGTAGAGAGCTGAAGCTGTAGCCGCAGGGTATCCACGGAGATCGTTCCGGCGTCGGTCCAGGCTCCTCGGCGCAGGCTGTGTGAAGTTGCGGCGTGTCCCGAGAGGCCATTTCTGAGCGTTTCCCAATACGCGTGCCTGGAAGCTCTCCAGAAGGTCCTTCGGAAGCTCTTTCCAGGTCCTTCAGAGCTCTTCGCCAGGCCTTTCCACGCCCTTCAGGCGCCCTGCTATCCGGGTTTTGGACCCCACAAGTGGCCCAACAGGCGTCAGGAAACGGCGCTTGGTCATGAGAATCAGGATGAGGTCCACAGGTAACTTATCCGACCGTCAAAGTCGAGCCAAGGCTAATCATCTCAATAAGGGGACTTCCGCTCTAGTGCTGCAGCTTCCCGTCAACGCAGATTCTTAGCCGAATTGGCGGGGCAACCTGCCGCTGGCCGCTGGCGTTGGTGCCAGAAATTCGGCTCCTTGACTCTCGGCAAACTCCTACCATGAGCTGGCGTCACAGGTCGACCTCGCTGCCGAACTGAGCGCTGCCATCTCGGACACGTCCTCCGACGTAGACGCCAACCATGCCGTGCGACATCAGCAGGCAGGGCCCGGACAAGTCGTGCCGATGTGGGGACCCCGCCGCATCGGGCCCCGTCCCAGAACCGCCTCGGCAGCCTCTGAAGAGGGTCGTGGCGGCGGGACAGGCTCCTGCAGGCGTGGTGGGATTCCGATCCGAACCGGGAGAAAATCAGGAGGGGCAGAACCACACATACACCACTACTCGTCGACCCCCAGGAAGATACGGGAACATATGGGAAGTGGGGGGTCGAGGACAAAAACCCAGAACACATGGGCAAGGATGGGGAGTCCTGCTCCTTGTGCGTCTTGGCTTGCGCGTCCCTGGGCTCCTTCCGGAGGCCAGGCGTTCGGCCCCCGCCCGCGCGCGCGCGCCCCTCGACGAGGGGCCCGCGGCGGCGGGGCAGCCCGCCGCTGGAGCGCCCGCGGGGCCACGGGTGCCCCGCCCGCTCGGCGCGGCGCGGGCCCGGCCCCTCGCGGAGGCCGGCGGGGCCGCCCCGGTGGACACCGCCCGCGTCTGGAGGGCGGACGCCGCCCAGCCAAGGGGAGCAGGAGGTCGCGATAGCGGCAGGCTCTCCAAGATCATCCCAGGGTTCTTCCTGGACTTCTCGGGTTCCGTGAGGTTCCACGTGGGCTGCAGACGTGAGGGCCGCGAGGCACTCTGGAAGTCGTGGGCTGTATGCTGAGCCAATCGTATCATGCTACGATTGCGTCCTGACCACTGCCGAGCCATGTGCAGAAAGAGCTGGCCAGCAATGGCAGCAACTCGCCTCCAGCGAGCAACGGAGAAGGCTTGAACAGCGACAGGAGGAAGCCTCCAACGGCTCCGCGTTCGGATGCAACTCCTGGGAGGTCACATTCTGATTTTGCCCTGGTCCGAAATCCGGCTTAATCCGGCTTAGTACCGCTTACTCTGACTGTATCCCGCTTAATACGGCACAATCCCGCTTAATCCGAGGCCCACTCTGGCGTAACAGCCCCCCAATGGGGCTGAATCCTCCTGATTCCTTCCGACGAAGACCTCCCAGTAGTTTTAATTCGGGCCTGTCCCTCTACAGGGGGAATGTTCAAAAATAGTGAAAAATAGTCTGGGTAGAATTTTTTTCAGTATTTTTTGGCATCTTTTGAATATTTTTTGGGTATTTCTATTTTTCCTCCAAAATCCCCCTGTAGGGGGACAGGCCCGACCTCCCAGTAGTTGCCTGCCAGTTCGCGCCACCTTCGAGGGTCGTGGAGCGAGCCGGTGCAGCGGACGCGCGAGCCGTCGCGCAGTCTGAGCCACGGCGTCGGCCCAGAGGCACGCACGGCCAGGGGTGAGCTTGCAGCTAATGTTACGTCGGGCATGTCCCTCTCTACAGGAAGAATATTCAAAGATAGTCAAAAATAGTCTGGGAGCGATTCTTTGAGTATGTTTGGTATTTTTTTGAATTCTTTACGAACATTTTTAATTCTTCGCTCAAAATCCGCCTGTAGGAGGACATGCTCGACCTAAGGCTAATAGTGCCCACGCGGGACAAGAAGGCCAGCGCGCTCGGACTCCTGGTGTCGCACGCCTGGCTGAGCTAATGGATGCTCCAAGCGACCTGCCCCAGCAGCAACAAGCGCTGGCGAATCCTGCGCGGTTTTCTGGTTCGGGATCTCATCCCCGTTGTCGGCCGACGTGTGCAGGCGTTGGAAGTGAAGCACATCGAGCTGACGAACTAGAGGAAGAGCCCGCTGCCGCATGCGAGTCTATGGAGCTTTAGAGAGCGATGAGGTCATACCTGGACCGATCATTATACGCAGTGGAACACATCGCCTTCCTGTCAGACAGGACGGATGGCGCAGACGGGCTGACGTCCACAGATGGCGACGTCATAACGATGCATGATCACTTCCTGCTTGATATGCAGGGAAGTTGCAAGACCTGAGGCTTCCTGGGGACCTCTTCAGCCGGCTTGGAGCGCTGGAGGCTCGAAGCGAGAAGGTTAATTTCTGCAAACACTTAAAGGGCATCAGGAACTGTTGTCACCTGAGGCCCTCCTTGGGGCTCTCTTACAACTCGCTCGGAGTGTTGTGTGGGCTTGTTGTGCCATCTTAGCCCCCTTGGGGCGTGTTGGAGTTTTCCTGGGCTCCCCTGAGGAAGTTTGGCGTCGTTGTGGGTGGGTGGGGCGGCGAGAGGCTCATTGGCCACATCCGGGAACGCCTGGGGCAGCACCGTCAATAGTGGCATTGTTAGGTCCCGGCCTCGAAGAATCTCAGAGATCATGCGACGCGTACAGCCGCATGAGCCTCGGGGCGCTCCAGCTCGTGGCGGGGAACGGGAAGAGGAGAATGAAGGTAGGGATGGGGGGGGAGGAGGAGTAGGAGGAGGAGGAGGAGAAGGGCGAGGAGGAGGAGGAGAGGGGGAGGGTGGGGAAGAGAACGCTTGGGGTAAAGACAAGGGGCAGTGGATGGATGATGATTGGGATGTGGAAGATGGCAACGAGGATGGGAAGGATAACGATGAGGACATGGATGATGAGGAAGATCATCAGGATGAGGATGATAAGAAGGATAAGGAGGAGCACGTGGGCGACGACGCGGTGAAGGGATGAGGAGGAGGAATCTGAGAACGAGGCGGAGGAGGGCCATGATGAGGAGAGGGAGTGGGAGGACGTCGCGGAGGTGCGGGAGGAAGAGCAGGTAGGGGAGAATCGGAACCCGTCGGGGGGATCCTTGCGGTGTCTCCCACCGCCCCTGCACGAGGGACAGAAGCTGCGGAGCTCGGAGCTGATGGCCCTCGCCACCCAGATCGCGGGCGTATCCTCGGCGGACCCATTCGTCAAGGCTGGCCGTCTCCGTTTCGCGGCCTCCTCTGAGGATCGGGGTTCGAGGATCGAGGTTCGAGGATCGAGGTTCGAGGATCGAGGATCGAGGTTCGAGGATCGAGGATCGAGGTTCGAGGTTCGAGGTTCGAGGATCGAGTGTTTGTTCTGTCCTCGGGGTGCGCCCTCATGGAGAACGCCTCGAAAATTCTGTTCGGGATGCGCTCTGGGGCAGGTCTGGGGTTTCGTCGTCGACGTCGTCGTCGTCCTCTTCCCTCTGCTCCATTCCTCCTCTTCCTCCTCCTCCGACTCCTCCTCCTCCTCCTCCTCCTCCCGCCTCCTCCTCCTCCTGCTGCTCCATTCCTTGTCCTTTCAGCTAGCTCGTCCTGGTCGCATCCCGTGGCTGGTCGAAAGGGCGGGCCGGGCGTTGCGCCTGAGGCTTCCTCACCATTTATGATTCTGAAGTTTGAAATTTGTAACAGTCCTTCACGGATGGAGGGCGGGTAGTTTGCAAGATTGGACTCTAGCCTTCACGCGACGCACATTCGTTTTAAAGTTTGCAGCATTTTCGCGGATGGAGGGTGGGCTGTTTTCAACATGTGGCTTTCGCTTTCGTGCCGAGCACCTTCGTCTCAAATGTTTACAAGAGTTTCACGGGTGGATGGCGGGCCGTTTTCAACATGTGGCTCTCGCCTCATCGCCGCGTACATTCGTCTTGAAATATGCAGTCGTCCGGCGGATGGAAGGCGGTTCCTCTTCAATTTGTGGATCGCGCCTTAGCGCCGCGCACATTACTCTTATTTTATTACAGGTTCAATAGTTCTCAGGGTTAACATAACACTGGCTCGATGTCCGACTGCCAGGGCGCAACAGTTACGTTGATTCGTGGTGTTGGCGTCCCAGAAATGGTGGTCTGGCAGGACATACCAGTGACGGTGATTCTCGGCGTTGAAGTCCCAGGAGTGGTGTTCTGGCACAGTTCAGGATTTTCAGATGGTTGACTTCTAGCGGGGCATTTCTCAGTGAAAATGAGCCCTGGAGGGGCCTCTGAAGAGGGAACTTGGAGGGAGGCATGAGTGCAACATCGTTGGTGAGTTTTGGGTCTGCACTGGTCCTCCTCGTCCCAGTCCTCGTCCCCGTCCTCCTCGTCCTCCTCCTCCTCCTCCTCCTCGTCCTCCTCCTCCTCCTCCTCCTCCTCCTCCTCCTCCTCCTCCTCCTCCTCCTCCTCTCTAGCGGAAGCAGTTGCGGAAGGTGGTGGCCTTGCGGTCGGACCCTGCTGCCGCCGCCTCTGGGCCTCTGGGGGGGAGGCAGAGAGGCTCATGTTTTATCCAGGCTCGTCCGACTTGCCCCAGAGGAGGGTAAACCCGTCGGTCGAGTGTTGCGGACAGATGTCTTTCTCCAGAGCATGCCCATAGCCTGCGAGTGACACCCTGGAGGCCTTGCGCGGTTCTCGGTGGTTGTCTTGTCTAACTAGTCCACACGGCCGCCCCGTCGGGCATGGGACGGCGTTCGCGCGGCGATGTTCCGACGTAAGCCGGACGCAATCCCGCGTGTACCTGAGGCAGGTCCGACGTGGATCCGAAGTGAGTTTGGTCGCATGCTGCCGTCCGAGGCCTCCAGAGCATTCCTAAAATAACATACCCGCGGCGAGCGAGGGGGGGAAGTGAGAAGGAGGAGGCCTTCTCAGAAGGCGGCCCTGCTTCTCTGGCGCCACTGGCGCCTTCTCGGAAGCTTCCTGTGTCTTCGTAGGGTGCTTGGAAGTCTCAGAAGGCGCAAGGACTTCTGAGAAGCCCCACCGCCTTCTGATAAGGCCTGCCCCCTCTCACTCCCCCCCTTGGGCCCGCCGCCAAGCATAATTTGCATTCCTCCTCCTCTTTCCCTCTCCCTAAACGCTCCTGACCTCTGGTAGGGGAAACAATCAGTGGACACTCCCCCGCTCCCCCAAACACAAAGTTGGCACGCGCGGGGGAGACTGCGGTCGAAGTGCAACTCATCAGACCCACCGCCAACTTTGAACACTGGGGGGAGGGGGAGGCGTTCACCGATGAGGCGGCACGCGTGTTCGCTATTTCCCAACCATCCTGTGGTGTTGGGTCGTCGTTTTGAAGAGACGTCGCCCCGCGTTCTCTCCTCTCCTCTCCTCTCCTCTCCTCTCCTCTCCTCTCCTCTCCTCTCCTCCCTCTCCTCTCTCTCTCTCCTCTCCTCTCCTCTCCTCTCCTCTCCTCTCCTCTCCTCTCCTCTCCTCTCCTCTCCTCCTCCCCCTTCTCCCTCCTCCCACCATCATCATCGTCATCATCCTCCATTTCGGCACACCCCTCACACGTTTCGTGGCCCCATAGGGAGCCCCACCGAAGGCCCCAGTGCTGCCGCCCGCATGCGTCACCGCACACCCAATTCGGCACACCCCTCACACGTTTCGTGGCCCCATAGGGAGCTCCACCGAAGGCCCCAGTGGCTGCCGCCCGCATGCGTCCCCACACCCATTTCGGCACACCCCTCACACGTTTCGTGGCCCCATAGGGAGCTCCACCGAAGGCCCCAGTGGCTGCGCCCGCATGCGGTTCCACCCCCCATTCTGGCACACCCCTCACACGTTTCGTGGCCCCATAGGGAGCTCCACCGAAGGCCCCAGTGGCTGCGCCCGCATGCGGTTCCACCCCCCATTCTGGCACACCCCTCACACGTTTCGTGGCCCCATAGGGAGCCCCACCGAAGGCACCAGTGGCAGGGCTCGCATGCCTCCCCACCACCCATTTCGGCACACCCCTCAAACGGTTCGTGGCCCCATAGGGAGATCCACCGAAGGCACAGTGCTGTCCCAAACCCCCCCCCCGCCGCCCGCATTCGTCACCCACAACCCAATTCTCGGTAGCACTCCCCTCACACGTTTCGTGCCCCATTAAGAGGAGTCCCCGACCGAAGGCCCCCAGTGCTGCCGCCCGCATAGCGTCCCCGCACACTCGTTTCGGCACACACACCCCTCGACACGTTTCGTGCCCCTAGGAACCACCCCACCGAAGGCCCCATGCTGCGCCCGCATTCGTCAATCGAACATCGTATTCGGCACACACCCTCACACGTTTCGTGGCCCCCGCCCATCCCGTTCCCACCGAACGTGGCCCCATAGGGAGCCCCACCGAGGCCCCAGTGCTGCCGCCCGCATGCGTCACCCACACCCAATTCGGCACACCCTCACACGTTTCGTGGCCCCATAGGGAGCTCCGCCGAAGGCCCCAGTGCTGCCGCCCGCATGCGTCACCCACACCCAATTCGGCACACCCCTCACACGTTTCGTGGCCCCATAGGGAGCCCCACCGAAGGCCCCAGTGCTGCCGCCCGCATGCGTCACCCACACCCAATTCGGCACACCCCTCACACGTTTCGTGGCCCCATAGGAGCTCCACCGAAGGCCCCAGTGCTGCCGCCCGCATGCGTCCCGCACACCCAATTCGGCACACCCCTCACACGTAATTCGGACACCACCCCTCACACACGTTTCGTGGCCCCCCATAGGAGCCCCACGAAGGCCCCAGTGCTGCCGCCCGCATGCGTTCCCCACACCGTTTCGGCACACCCCTCACACGTTTCGTGGCCCCATAGGGAGCCCCACCGAAGGCCCCAGTGCTGCCGCCCGCATGCGTCACCCACACCCAATTCGGCACACCCCTCACACGTTTCGTGGCCCCATAGGGAGCCCCACCGAAGGCCCCAGTGCTGCCGCCCGCATGCGTCACGCACACCCAATTCGGCACACCCCTCACACGTTTCGTGGCCCCATAGGAGCTCCGCCGAAGGCCCCAGTGCTGCCGCCCGCATGCGTCACCCACGCCCAATTCGGCACACCCCTCACACGTTTCGTGGCCCCATAGGGAGCCCCGCGAAGGCCCCAGTGCTGCCGCCCGCAATGCGTGACGCACGCCCCCAATTCGGCACACCCCTCACACGTTTTCGTGGCCCCATTGGAGCCCACCGAAGGCCCCAGTGCTGCCGCCCGCATGCGTCACGCACACCCAAATCGGGGCACACCCCTCACACGTTTCGTGGCCCCATAGGGAGCCCCACCGAAGGCCCCAGTGCCGCCGCCCGCATGCGTTCCGCACACCCGTTTCGGCACACCCCTCACACGTTTCGTGGCCCCATAGGGAGCCCCACAAAAGGCCCCAGTGCTGCCGCCCGCATGCGTCCCGCACACCCACTTCGGCACACCCCTCACACGTTTCGTGGCCCCATAGGAAGCTCCACCGAAGGCCCCAGTGCTGCCGCCCGCATGCGTCACGCACACCCAATTCGGCACACCCCTCACTCGTTTCGTGGCCCCATACGGAGCTCCACCGAAGGCCCCAGTGGCGGCGCTCACATGCGCATGCGTCCCGCGCACCCAATTCGGCACATCCCTGACAGGTTTCGTGGCCCCATCATCCACCGGAGGCCCCAGTGGCGGCGCTCACATGCGTCACCCACACCCACCCAATTCGGCACACCCCTCACACGTTTTGTGGCCCCATAGGGAGCTCCACCGAAGGCCCCAGCGGCCGCGCTCACATGCGTCCCCGCCACCCATCCCGGCACGCCCCTCACAACAACAGGTTTCGTGGCCCCATAGGGAGCTCCACCGAAGGCCCCAGTGGCACCGCCCGCATGCGTCACCACCCGCACCCAATTCGGCACACCCCTCACACGTTTCGTGGCCCCATAGAGAGCTGCACCGAAGGCCCCAGTGGCGGCGCTCACATGCGCCCCCGCCACACATCCCAGTACACCCCTCACGCGCTTCGTGGCCCCATAGGGAGCTCCACCGAAGGCCTCAGTAGCGGCGCTTACATGCGTCTGCGCCACCCATCCCGCCCCCCCCCCGCAGCAGCATCATGTTTCGGGGACCCATAGGGAGCTCCACTGGAGGCCCGAGTGGCGGCCCTCACATGCGTTTCCGCCACCCATGTCGGCACGCCCCGCGCCTGCTTCATGTCCCCATAGGGAGCTTCGCCGAATGCCCCAGTGGCACCCATCTTGGCACACCCCTCACACGTTCCGTAGTCCTATGGGGAGTTCCACTGAAGATGAAACCCGCAGCTGCGGTACTGACAACTGCATATGGTTGGGTTCTTCGCCAGGCTAATTTTTTCCGAGGACTGTAGCGTTCCTCCCCCTCTTCCCCTCCCCCTTTCCGCTCCAGACCTCCGACGATGTCCCTCTCGTTTCCCAGCCGCGGGCGGGAGATCTCGACCCCCGTCCCCTGCGCGCGGATGGGCTCCTCTGCAGGAGCGTGCTCTCCCGCCGCGGACTTCTTCTTCTGCATCCCGGGATGCCGGGCATGTCAGCCTCGCCAGGGATGTCGGGCGGGTGGTCTTGAGAAATAGTCTGGCGACGATTTTTCGTGCTTGCTGGACAATCTTTGAATCCGTGTTCGATTTGTTTTGTTTCTTCCAGAATCCGCCTGTACAAGACCATTCCCGACCTGACGGTAATGGGGGGGGCCTAACTGGAGGATGGAGAAAAGGGCCCTAAAGGGACCCTTCAGGGCCCTTCTACTCACCCCCCGTTGGGTCCTACCCCATGACCACCCGCCCAGGGATGGCCGGCGGCTCCTTTTCCAGGTCGTGCTGTCGTCGCCACGAGGGAAGCGGGCCCTGAGGGCTTTCGCCATCTTCGGGCTCTTGACGCCCTCCACGGACCTCGGGACCGTCGAAAAACTATTCGGGGATGAAAAAAGGTCCTGCAACCCTCCTCGAAATCAAACGCAAGTTTTCAATGCTGATTGTTGCGTGAAGCGTGGCCCGCGTGGTCAGATTTTGGCGCTTGCAGTCGCCAGTTTCGGCGCGAGCGTTGAAATGCTGGGGTCCTGGGTCGCCGCCACGTCGCGGGAACAAACATGCGTTTGATTTCGAGGAGGGATGTGGGGAAGGCCGCGCCGCCTTGGGTCCAGGACCCGCTTCCCGCAGGACCCAGTTCCCTCGTTCCAGCCACAGCGGCGCAAAGCTCACACCAACTGCATGGATGGTGGTCGGTTCCCTATCAAGGTCATGGTGTACAGTCAACCCGCATAGTGAGGGTGGGCAACCTTCCCCAAGGGTACCCTTGCATCCTTGCCTCCTCGGTCCATCCTTGGCCAGTGTCATGGCCGTGCCCCGCTTGAAAAGCTTCGAAATTGGCGTCCAAGGGCCTTGCATCCTTATCACGCATCCTTCTGATACGGTCCGACTGTATCAAGGTCATGGTGTATTGCAAGTTCTTGACGCGTCGTCCCCACCAGCCCATGTGGAAACGTTTCCCAGGGGAGCTGTCCGGAGAAAGGAAGCATGTAGTGAAGCAAAGAGGCCGACCACAGTGAACTTGAAGACCTCTTGGATACCTCTTGAGCCATGCTGGAGCCTCTTGGGGCCTTTTTTGGGAGGCGTGGGGTCATCTTTTGGCTTCATTGGGCTTTTTCCCAACCATCCTGTGGTGTTGGGTCCTCGTTCTGAAGAGACGGTCCCCGCGTTCTCCTCCTTCCTCCTTCCTTCTTCCTTCCTTCCTCCTCCCTGCTCCTCCCTCCTCCCTGCGTTTCACCCACCAAGTACAGCGTTTCGTAGCCCCATAAGGAGCTTCACCGAAGGCTCCAGTGGGACCGCCCGCATGCGTCATCCACCACCCAGCACAGCATTTCGTGGCCCCATAGGGAGCTCCACAGAAGGCTCCAGTGGGACCGCCCGCATGCGTCATCCACCACCCAGTACAGCGTTTCGTGATCCCATAGGGAGCTCCACCGAAGGCCCCAGTGGGACCGCCCGCGTGCGTCATCCACCACCCAGCACAGCGTTTCGTGGCCCCATAGGGAGCTCCACCGAACAGCCCAGTGGGACCGCCCGCATGCGTCGTCCACCACTCAGTACAATGTTTCGTGGCCCCATACAGGGGGCTCCACCGAAGGCTCCAGTGGGACCGCCCGCAGGCGTCATCCACCACTCAGTACTATGTTTCGTGTCCCAATGGAGGGCTCCACCGAAGGCCCGAGTGGGACCGCCCGCATGCGTCATCCACCACCCAGCACATTGTTTCGTGACCCCATAGAGAGCTCCCGCAAAGGCTCCATCGGACCGCCCACATGCGTCATCCACCACCCAGTACAGCGTTTCGTGGCCCCATAGAGGGCTCCACCGAAGGCCCCAGTGGGGTGAGCTTTAGCCGGCCTCGTGAGCTCGTCAGACTTGCCTGGGAAAAAGCAGCTATGGCACAGCCCTCTCTCTTGCAAGCGCGCGCGCAGAAGCGAAGGGGGGAGGAGGAAGGAACTTCAGACTGCGCCGCAGGTCAAGCAGCTCATCCAGGAGCTGATCGAGCGCTTGCTCGCGCAGCAGTCCAACGAGGCTCGAAGAAGAAACAACCGTATCGACAAACACTTCCTGCGCTCTGCTCGGATTTCTCGGATCGTCGCTGGGGCCCCCCTGGCAGCGCTTTCCGGCGCCGCCCTGGCGCTCTCCCCGCGCCAGGGAGGGGGGATCCAGCGCGGATCCAAGAAATCTGTGCAGACCTCTCAAAGGTTGTGTGTTATGCCGCTTTTTGTTCCTCTAGAGGCCGACCAGAAGGCGTGGTGCGACAAGGCCTCTTGCCGTCGTCGTCCACGTCGTTGCTGTGCGGCGGAGGGAAAAGTACCCATACCGCTGCTCGTCCTGGAGATCCCACGTCGCCACGGCTGGATTCTCATCGAAATCCTGGTCAGACCGCACCCAAGGAGAGGTCGGGGGGAGTAGCGGTATCGGTATCCAGCTGCCTGCGGTAAGTCCTGCCACCGTGCCAGCCCAGCATTCTGGGTGGCGACTGTTCGAAGGGGCACAGGAGGCCGTCACGTGTGACACCTCGTGTCTCCAGTCTTGCGAGAGCCGTGATGAGGATGATGAGGATTCTGAGGATGATGGGGGTGACGACGACGACGACGATATTGCTGTTGCTGCTGATGATGATGATGATGATGACGATGACGACGATGACGACGACGGTGACGACGAGGGTAACGATCACGACGACAATGACGGTGACGATGACGGACGATCATGATGATGATGATGCTTCTGATGATGATGCTGCTGATGATGCTGATGATGACGATGATGATGGTGATTCTCATGATAGTGATGATGATGCTGATGACGATGACGACGACTGTGACGACGGTGACGATAGTGGTGACGATGATGGACGATGATTATGCTGATGATGATGATGATGATGATGATGATGATGATGATGATCATGCTGATGCTGATGCTGCTGATGCTGATGATGATGATGGTGATGGTGATGGTGGTGGTAGTAGTGGTGGTGGAGATGACGACGACGACAAGGATGATGATGATGCTGATGATGCTGATGGAAACGATGGTGGTGGTGGAGGTGGCGACGATGACAAGGATGCTGATGCTGATGATGATGCTCCTGCTGATGATGATGTTGATGGTGATGCTGATGATGATGATCATGATGATGCTGATGATGATGATGATCTGATGATGATGATGTTCATGATGATGATGGTGGTGGTGATGATGATGATGATGACGATGATGTCGATGATTATGCTGATGATGGTATGATGATGTTGGTGGTGGTGATACTGATGATGGTGGTGGTGGTGGCGATGATGGTGATGATGGTGGTGGTGATGATGATGCTGCTGATGATGATGGTGATGATGATGGTGATGGTGATGATGAGGACGATGATGATGATGATGATGATGATGATGGTGATCGTGACGATGATGATGGTGGTGGTGATGACGATGATGATGCTGCTGACGATGATGATGATGATGATGGTGGTGGTGGTGGTGGTGGTAATGGTGATGATGATGCCGATGAGTGTTGGTGATGATGATGATGGTGGTGATGATGGTGATGATGATGGTGATAGTGGTGACGATGATGATGATGATGATGATGATGATGCTGATGATGATGATGATGATGATGATGATGGCAGTGGTGATGCTTATCGTGATGATGATGGTGGTGGCGATGGTGATGGTGATGATGATGCTGGCGATGATGGTGATGATGATGATGATGATAATGATGATGATGATGATGATCATGGTCATGATGATGATGCTGGTGATGCTGATGATGATGATGGTTCTGATGATGCTGCTGATGATAATGATGATGACGATGATTGTGCTTGTGATGGTGATGCTGATGGTGATGATCGTGATGATGATGATGGTGGTGGTGATGGCGATGCTGATGATGATGCTTATGCTGATGATGATGATGATGTTGATGGTGATGCTGATGATGATGATGACAATGCTGCTGCTGATGATGATGATAAGGATGCTGGTGATGCTGATGCTGATGCTGATTCTGATGCTGATGATGACGACGGTGATGCTGATGGTGATGCTGATGATGATGCTGATTGTGATGATGGTGACGGTGCTGATGATGGTGATGGTGATGGTGGTGGTGACGATGCAGGTGATGTTGATGATTGTGGTGATGATGATGATGGTGGCGGTGACGATGATGCTGCTGATGATGGTGATGATGGTGATGATGATGATGCTGATGATGACGACGACGTTGGTGACGACGGTGGTGACGACGGTGGTGGTGGTGGTGCTGACGATGACGACGGTTTCGACGAAGACCAGGACGAGGACGAGGACGACGACGACGACGACGGCGACGTCGACGACGGCGGCGGCGGCGGCGACGACGACGACGACGACTACGATGACTACGACGACGATGGCTACGACGACGACGATGACGAGGAGGAGGAGGAGGAGTAGGAGGAGGAGGAGGAGGATGGTGGTGGTGGTGATCATGATGATGACGATGCAACTCTTGGGGGTCCCTTGAGGCCCTCTTGGGCCGTTTTGGTGCCCTCTTATGCCGTCTTGGGGCCCTTTTGGCCGTCTGGTATATGGTGGATGTCTGGGGTCGCGGTGGGGCCGTCTTGGCGCCGTCTTGGGCCGTCGAAGGGCTTTCGAAGGCCTTCTTGGGTCCCACGGGAGGCCCTCTTGGGCCATCTTCGGGCCGTCTTGGAGGCCTCTTGGGCCATCGCGGTGTCCTGTTGGGCCGTCTTGACCTGACGGCAGCCGAACCGGCGAGAATACGACCATCATTTTGGCTTCGACGGACCCTGTTGGAGGTCCTCTTGTGGCCATTGCGGGCCCTCTTGGAGGCATTTCTGGGCCATCTGGAATCGATGCTCGGTCGCCTTGGGGCCATCTTGGGCCGTCTTCGAGATCTTGGGCCATCTTGGTGTCCTTGATTGCCTGCACGGGCTGTCTTGGAAGCTCGGGGCGCATATCGATCATTTCAAGAAGGGATCGTGGTTTGGGAGGCACTGGAACGTTTGGGAGCAGCGTCTGGAAATGCGTGAAGCGCACGATCCTCGAGCGGGTGCGCGTGGGATGATTTTCCAGGCATCGGCTGCCATGCGGGGGGTGCACCATCCTCGAGCGGGCACGCGTGGAATGAGGGTTCAGACATTAGCTGCCATGCGGGAGGTGCACCATCCTCGTGCGGGCGCGCATGTAATGCGGGTTCTGGCATGACTTGTTACGCGGGAAGTGCAGCATCCTCGAGCGGGCAGGCGTGGAAGGGGGGTTCAGGCATTAGCTGCCATGCGGGAAGTGCCTCCAGGGGGGGGGTGCAGCATCCTCGAGCGGGCACGCGTGGAAGGGGGGATTGGGCATTCGCTGCCGTGCTGGAGGTGCAGCATCCCTGGGCGGGCACGGGGGAGGTGGCCTCGGACAGGGGGGGCGAGGCACGCAGCAGCCCGCGGGCAGAGGCAGGGGGCGGTCCCCGTGTTCAGAATTCAGATTAGCCTTGCTAAGGACCCAACCAGATGCAGTTGTGAATACCGCAATTGTGCTGGGTGGTGGCGGGCGCATGCGGGCGGTGCCACTGGGACCTTCGGTGGGGCCCCCTATGGGGCCACGGAGCGCTGTATTGGGTGGGTGAAAAGCAGGGGGCAAAGGCTGTTGTGCTGGGTGGTGGCTGACGCGTGCGGGCGGTGCCACTGGGACCTTCGGTGGAGCTCCCTATGGGGCCACGAAGCGCTGTACTGGGTGGGTGGTGTGCAGGGAGCGCGTGCTTTTGTGCTAGGTGGTGGCGGACGCATGCCATGCGGGCGGTGCCACTGGGACCTTCGGTGAAGCCCCCTTATGGGGCCACGAAGCGCTGTACTGGGTGGGTAAAACGCAGGGAGCAACGACTGTGCAGGGTGGTGGCTGGCGCATGCGGGCGGTGCCACTGGGACCTTTGGCGTAGCCCCTCCTATGGGGCCACGAAGCGCTGTACTGGGTGAGTGAAACGCAGGGAGCAAGGGCTGTGGTGGGTGGTGGCGGACGCATGTGAGCTGTGCCACTGGGGCCGTTGGTGGAGCTGCCTACGGGGCCACGGAGTGCTGTACTGGGTGGGTGAAACGCAAGGAGCAAGGGCTGTGCTGGGTGGTGGCGGACGCATGCGGGCGGTGCCACTGGGACCTTCGGTGGAACCCTCTGTGGGGCCACGAAACGCTGTGCTGGGTGGGTGGAGCGCAGTGGCGGACGCATGCGGGCGGTGCCACTGGGACCTTCGGTGGCGCACCTTTATGGGGCCACGAAGCGCTGTACTGGGTGGGTAAAACGCTGGGCCCCCTATGGGGCCACGAAGCTGTGTACTGGGTGTGTACAGCGCAGGGGGCAAGGGCTGTACTGGGTGGTGGCGGACGCATGTCATGCGGGCGGTGCCACCGGGACCTTCGTTGGAACCTCATTAAGGGGCCACGGAACATTGTATTGGGTGGGTGGAACGCAGGGAACAAAGACTGTGCTGGGTGGTGGCGGACGCATGCAGGCGGTGCCACTGGAACCTTCGGTGGGGTTCCCGATGGGGCCACGCGACGTTGTATTGGGTGGGCGAAGCGCAGGGAGCAAGAGTTGTGCATGGTGGTGTCGGACGCATGCGGGCGGTGCCACTGGGACCTTCGGTGGAACCCCCTTATGGTGCCACTGCACGCTGTACTGGGTGGGTAAAACGCAGGACGCAAAGGCTGTGCTGGGTGGTGGCGGACGCATGCGGGCGGCGCCATTGGGACTTTCGGTGGAGCACCCTATGGGGCCACGAAGCGCTGTACTGGGTGGGTGAAACGCAGGGAGGAGGGAGGAGGGGGAGGGAGGGGGAAGAAGAGGAGGGGATGCGGAGGGACGCGGGGACTGTTTCTTCAAAACGAGGACCCAACACCACAGGATGCTTGGGGGAAAAAACAGGCATACCTTGGCATTCAGTCGGGCCTGTTCTTCTACAGGGGGAGCATCCAAACATAGTTCGCAACTATCCTGTGGTGTTGGGTCCTCGTTTTGAAGAGACGGTCCCCGCGTTCTCCTTCTTGCTCCTCTCCCTCCTCCCTCCTCCCCCTCCTTCCCCATTTCGTGGTCCCATAGGCAGCTCCACCGATGGCTCCAGGGGGACCGCCCGCATGCGTCATCCACGACCTAGTACAGCGTTCTGTGGTCCCATAGAGGGCTCCACCGAAGGCCCCAATGGAACCGCCCCCCGTATTGGGGGCTCCACCGAAGGCCCCAGTGGCACCGCCCGCGTGCGTCACC